TAGAATTTGCACTGAAGAGAGTGCCGCAGACATATAGAGGTCCTGGAGTGGCCCAACAAAGGGGCACTGGGTTAATAGGTCTTCTCATGCTCTCCAGATGGCTGGGCTGTAACTCACCTGGCATGGTGTGATAGACACTTGGCCAGTATTGACCACTGTCCCTCTTCAGCCATATTCGAATGGTCCTGTGGGATGAAACCCAATTCAAATGTTTCAGTTTCACTCCACCATTAAAACCTTTATCTCCTGCGATGAACGCAGTGAGTTTGAGCACATCATTAATAGACTAAGTTCTTTCAGCAAGGCAACTGGATACAAATACCCAGGCAATCAAAAACACTGGTCCATACTCATTAGGGACGGGCGATACCACTCATTTTGTTTTTGTTCCTATTTGTGTGTGTGTGTGGGGGGGGGGGGGTGGGGGGGGGGTTTTCCGAAGTCACTAGCATCTTGGCCGCTGAAAGTCCTCCCCTTTTTCCTGCCTATGGGGGCTCTGCCTGGTAGTACTTCATGCCCTTCTTCCTTTAATAATATCAAGTTATTAAGTTTAAATTAACAGGTTTAAACATTGATATCTCAACATTACAATGCTCTCTCAAACGAAACGTTTAGGCTGAAGGAATCAATATTTCAAGATTGAGCCGCACATTATTAATACTCATTAACATGTTGCCTGGGCTAAACAGCTGTTTAATATTTTTGATCCAGTCTATGACAAAATCATTTAACCGAAAACACAAATGACCAGAGTATTTTGGACATATTATGTGAGGACATATCGAAGACGGGCATTCCTGAGGAATGCCATTATATGGTGACCAAAACAAACTGGCATCACCTTACAACTTGATGTTTAGTTTACTTAAAATTTTGAACGGAATAACATTTATTTACACATTTCAAAGGCTGTAGTATTCTGGTTATTAAGTTCCAGAGAAAAACGAAAGTTCGGGCAACAAGTTCTGCCTCGTCCCCTTTTGTCATGCAGACAGTAATAAAGGTAACTATTCAAGAGGACAAAATAAAAGATTAACCACCCAATACGTGCTATGGCAGAGCACACCTTTTTCCAGGATACTTCAGATTACAATTGATTTTATTTTTCGCATTGAACTATAAAGCATACAATGACGAACAAACCACAAACTTCAAAGAGCAAAGTCCCAGTGTATGAACTGCTGGTGTTTCTTTGGGAAATTACCGCAATGGAAGCGTAGCAGTAAATGCATTTAACGGCATAAATGAACACGTGATAAAGGTGTAATCAATACAAATGGTTTTTTATAAAAGTTTATTCTAATATACAAAATGTATAATAATTTGGAATTGCACCTAAAAATAAAAAGGCAACTTTGCAACCGATCAGATATTTATGTGTGGAGGTAAGCAATCATAAAAATGATGTGGTGACTCAAGACTCAAAACCATTGTTCAAACTGACTGGACAGAGGTACCGTGACACTGTGGTTGAGAAACAAGTGCGAAACTGCGAGCAGGTGCAATCAGCATAATTGATCAAAACAAATAATGCAATATGACAGAATAATTTATATTCTGCTCAGTTAAAATGCTGGTGTAATTACTCAAAACTTCATATACAGATGATTAGCCGACCTGTATCAGTTGACCTCAATATGTTAATTTCAGTCTGTATTACTGTAAGCAGTCGATTTCGCTCTTTCCATGCTATGTCGCTGTCAGCGATGGGACGAGCGAGAAATATTTATTTGACTGATGGGACGAGATTGCATCGTTTAGCGATAATATCAATGGCAGCATAATTGCAAGGCTGGGGGATTGATCGGTACTGTACGTCCAACCAAATACGCACGCATAACGACTGCTATACACTGTCTATTGTGTGTTACGGCTCTCTCTGAATAATGAAATAGGATCACGAATCGCGTGCGTCAACTTCCTCGACACATAACAAACGACAGGAAGGCTGCGCCGCTGTCTCGCCAGGCATGTAAACGCGCGATCTGTCTTGGCCCAGTGATGGCAGGACCTACCTGTCCTCCGACACACTGATGACCCCGTCTTCCTTAGGAATAATGACCGCCGTGTTCACTATATCCTGAGAAGCCTCTATCTTATTAAGCAGCACGGGTTTCCGAGCCTGAGGTGTGGGCTGTACTTCTGCCGCCATGGAGATTCGGGTGACCCTACGCCAGTTCTTTCCCTCCGTAGCATAACAACCCTACACTGCCGGCATAGGTATCTCAGGTAATATTGCGCCCAGTACAACTACACTAAGGCGAGTAAGTGACAGAGAGTGACGCTGTAGGTCAGCTGACATCCTATGCCCATGTTTACACGTCACAGATACGGAGGAGATTACAGGCGGATACCGACTGCGCATGCGCGGCGTCTTGCCGACAAATTCCTCCTTAGTTTCCTGTACGAAAGTTGTACAGTAACAGCATCGGCAGACCGACCTTTTCGATGCTTGACGCACTATGAGAGTATGAATGCGTAATTTTTAGTATAGCTCATCCGGTTGCAGTTGCTTTGCGGAATTGATTACAGGGTCCCGGGAGGTTACTGAAATGGCTTCGTAGAAGCTCAGAAGAGAGACATTTCCGTTTTCGCCTGTCATCCAACACGTTGCATCGCGGGGTAATCTGTCTAATCATTTAACATCTATTCTGCCCAGGACTGCAGAGTACTTTTCATTCTTATACTCTTCGCACTTATACAAAACTGAATGATGGGTCATCAGAATTTGCGGGAATCGCTGATGTGTAGAATTCCGCAGTGATCACTTTCACTGTCATTTCACATCCACTATAACAACATGAGCAACGGTTTTCAATTGGGGAAGCTCGCCCTCAAACTCTCAAAGTCAGGGTTTTTTTCTGGGAATCCACAACGTAACTTATTTTATGAGTTGAGTCATCATATTGTATATTTTAATGGCTGAGAAACGTATTTTCTTGCTGAATTAACATCAGTCTATAAACTTAATTAATGTTTTGTGCATAACATTCCATCACTGTGACTGTCTTGCACATTGTAACAAACGTACCTGTGCTTTGTTATCCCTTTTGTTGTTTTTTTCTTTTTTGTTGAAATCGAAAAATAATCAACAGCAGAGCGTTTACTGTTAATACAGCGCATCATTAATCGCACTGCTTTTAGCACTGAACTGAGGTTTATTTTCGCGGAGTCTGATAATGTCTACATTTTTATGTATATTTGTATTCAATATAGTTAATCTTAAATTTGGTACTTATGCACCTGTTAATTGACAAAACTTAAAAAAGAAAAACATTAAAATTCTTATAATGGGGAAAAGGTCACTTCAACCTCATGGCTGTGTGAATAAAACCTCAGGCTAATCGCTAACGTCAGTTAGATTATTAGGGTGTGACAAGCAAACCATTTTCTGTCAATCTGTTTGTGAGTACTGCATTTAGGAGTTAGCATTTAGGCTGATGAGCTGAAGCTAATCAGTCTTAGAGATGGGTGACAAGATCTTGATCCAATGTCAGTTTAACTATTAAAGTTACACTCTCTCGGTTGCTGTAGTTACAGTTTTATTACTTTGTTGACTTGGTCTCAGGTACTAGCTAGCAGAGCCCGCCTTGTATGGCTCCAGGTTACATTCTGGCACACTAAGACAGAGGAGAAAAACAGCTGGGGCTCTGTGTATTCAGTCCAACCTTCTGACACAGCAGATCTGCTACTTAATGCTTATTCCCCGTATAGAACGACCCCAGATATACACCAATCCCACTTACCACTTTAGCATTAAAACTAAGGGTTTGAGGGACAGACAAATATAGCAAAAGGAGTTAAATGAGAAGTAAGGGATATGAATGGGAAGTAACATTAACAAACGTATTTGATATAGTGAGAACTTAGCAAAATGGCAGTAGCAGCAGCTTGGAATATGTATACAAGGACATTGCATGGTTCAGTGATTACAGGCATGGAGGAGTAAAGTAAGGACACCAGCTTAAATATCAGGACAATTCAGTAAGTGCTGTAGTGCAGCTGATATGAATTACTCCAGTCAGATAAACAGATGTATATATGTGTTGCTTTAGTCAAAAGCTAAGCAAGTAAATGTATACAGAAGAGGGGAGAAGTGTGTCTAGGTGGTCAATGTGGTATTAAAAATAGTGTTATGAAATGCTCCACTCCTCAATAAATAAAACTATGGAAAAGCATGTTTTACAGAATTTAGTAAAGAATCTGTAACATAATTCATTTTTCTGTGAATCTACAGCTCTGGAAAAAATTAAGAGATTTTTTTTTATCTGGATTTTTAAATCCTGGTTTTATCCTGCTTCTGCTGGCAGGAGGCTACACTGAGCAGCAGGCTGCTTCCAGGCTCTAAGTTTCTAAGACAGCAGTACACAAAAATAAATCGAAGCAGGAGTCATAGGGAACGACCAAGAACCAGCCAGATAGAGGGCAGAAGAAACTTTCTAATGCCAGAGATGACCGTCAACTTATTCAGCAGTGCCTCATAAATTGGAGGATGACCTCAAGTGACCTTCAAAAGGAATGGGAAACATTATGTGGTGTGAAGTGCACTGCTAGGACAATTCATAACAGGCTCCTAGAAGCAGGACTGAAGACCCAAAAAGCAAGGAAGAAGCCCTTCATCAATGAGAAGCAGGGAAGAGCCAGGCTGGAGTTTGCAGAAAAAAAATATATTTTACACAGGCTCTTACCCATAAATTGAGAAATGAGTAAAACTGAACATTTTGCTATGGTCTCAATTTCTTCCAGAGCTGTATATAGAATTGATCTAGAACATCAATATCACATTATACGTGTTCCATCAAATTTGTAACCACTCATCCTGGGCAGGGTTTGGATACTTCCAGAATAGGATGCCAGTTCACTGCAGGCACAGTCAAACACACAATCATACACTACAGACAATTTAGAGATGCTAGTTAAATGCACCTGTTCAGGACATAATATCTAGAGGAAATCCACACAATACTGGGAGAACATGTAAATTCCACCCACACAAAACAGAGCGCTGAACCACTGTATTTGTCATAAATTATTTATACCTCAGTTTGTAACATGTTTAAATGATCAGATTCAGGTTATTTGATAAAATAATTCATTAGTGTGCCACATCATCTGAACCTTTTTCTCAAAGGTATGATTCTGTAAACACCATGCTACATACTGTTATATGTATATCTATACAAGGTGTTGTTTGCCAATTTCACATTTATGCTGCTATAACAATGCAACAAATCTACACAGATATCCATAACAAAGTACTTCAAACTACTCTGCTCCATAACAAAGTATTTCAAACTACTCTGCTTCAAATTTATTTTACTGGGAAGCACATTACATAAAGCCCATGAGTATTCATTTTTATGTTCCGTGATGCCAGGCACATAAACTGCTGCTTCAGCATTGAAATGCATAAGCAGGGATGGTCAATCCTTCAGGTGACACAGGCAGCTGCCTAGGGCGCCAACCACTGAGTGGCTGCTGACTTGCCAGCCAAATATAGGTTTGCCTTGGATAGGGGATGCTGGTGTCGATGCTTGCCTAGGGAGCCACAGTGGCTAGGTACGGCCCTATGAATAAGAACCAAAGGCAGGACGTGGAAAAATAAATTAAACTGATCCCATATAACACCCTTCCTGGTGTGTTTTTCTAAAACATTTAACAAAGGTTTAGCCAGAAGAGCATAATTAACTGACAACTGTTTATACTGCTCACTTGTATGGTCATGCAAAAAAAAAAAATTAATACCTGTCATATTTTAGTACTCTACCAATACTGTGTTACTTTGAATAATTTGAAACCTGCACTCATACTGTATTCATCTGTTTGCTCTGTGTTCTGAGAATAAATTCTTTGTTACCTCTGTCAGCAGTTGTGATGGATTTGGGCTCCTGTTGGTATTGATAGTGCATAGTGCTTTTCTCTTCATTTTTTATAAACCATTTTTTCACACTGTAAACCAAAACATATATAACAGACAATTCATAAAATTATGGATAAATTACCTCAAGTCCACTGTTCCAGTCAATAACTCAGTATGAAAGGCTTGTAGTAAAACGTTTTGGCTATAATAACCAAAATAAAATGGTACTGTTATATTCCAAGAAAATAACATTTTGAAACAATAACACAGATAACACAATAAACTTATTTTATCAACAAAATGAGAAAATGCACTACAAGGAATTAAAATACTGATCAGACGGGTCACGGGTCTTCTCTACTTGTTATGTAATGTATAAGAGTTAGTATCCAGCTGTGCAATTAAACAGAGATAAGAAGGTTATTCGGCAGAATATTCTTTGAAGAAAATAAAATGTAAGTTATATTGTAAAAATATATTCGTAATTTCTTACTATGATGTTATGGGTCTAACATAACGGATACAGGACAAATGTGAGACGCATGACTAACTGAATAATCCTGCAATTCATGTTAGTCATTGTAGCTGTACGGTATAACTAAATGTGGCGATACAATTTAACGTCTCATTTAACACTAATAATGAACACATTCACAATACACAGGCCAGTAAGTCAACCACTGAATAGAAACTGGAAAGCTGCTTTTTAACATATGGGTGAGCTAATCTAAATGTCGAGGCTTTTTGTAAGATGTGTTTTACTTCAAAGGTAGGTAGGTGACATGCTGCTGGTACAAACAAAAAACAAACAAACGATGGGCACGAACACCACCACAAGAGTTTGGTTTGGACACAGCCAAAAGTAAGTTAATATTTTTTCTTGTGCCCATACTGCTAAACAACACAATTTAGCAGAAACACGACGATTACGTGATTTACCTTTAAGGATTCATACTGTATAAATGGTACGTAAACTCGTCTCGTTGTAGGCCCATGTGCAATAATTGAAACTGTCACGAATTCTTTTCGTGTCGTTTTCCTTGTATAAATACCTATAGGATTTGTTGTGATTTCACTGTGTTCCTTATAAATCCCTCGAAAAATTCAGATTCCGCAGATTTAATGCCAACGTGTATCCAGGCGGTCACTAACAAATTATCTCGGCATTGAAACATTTAAAAAAATCGTTATTAAGTCTAAGAACATAAACTACAATATGTCAAACTGTTCAAAAGCTTTTCGTGAATTTCAGCGACTGTTTTATTCGCTAAATGTATTAAGGTTGAAAAGCATTGTGATAACAAGTTTACACACATAAAGAACAAAGAGCGGAGGGGGTTTCTGAATATGGGTCACAGAGTATTGCTGCGCTAGTAGGTCTATATCAGCCCTTTTCCACAATCCCGATCCATTTGACAAGAACTCATATTTATATAATCCCCTCAAAATGTACACTGCGCAACTACTGTTACTGCACTACCTTAGATCCTATATTTTTTTTTAAAAGCAATTACTTTGCATCACATATTTTTTTTCACATTTCTTCAGTCTGATTTGCACAAAAGCCAGACCGCATGCGCTTATGAGGCTTTTTTTCTCTTACCACATCCCAGACGTCCTCTAAAAGCGCATGTGCAACCGAGCAACCCTGTTCCTGTCTTACTTGGATATGTTAATATAATAGCTTCTAACAACCAATCAGCGGCAGACGTTGCAGCCATATGGTTATCAAATGTCGCTTGGAGGCGGGACGAAATCCCAAACTAGGGTTAAAACGAGTGAGAAAGACGGTGAGATTTCAGTACAGGGAGAACTAGGAGTAGTCAACTTAGGTCAGTGTTACAGTATTTTTTTCTTTTTTTTTATTTTAAAAACAAACTTACGTAAAATTGACCTATTAACAACAAGCAACAAAAATCCCTTGTAGACCAACAGTCTTGCCCCACAGGATTTTTGGGTTTATTTAGAATAACTGAGGAAAAGGGGGTTATCTACTCCACTATCCTTAGTTTTTGAAGAATGAGTAAGATAGCCGGCCAACTCGCCAAATGATTACCGAAGCGACAGAGGGCGAACAAAAGATTTTTTTTCTAGTTTGGTCGATTGCACTGACACAAAGTCCATATAGAAGGTGTCATCACCAGCACAATGCCCGTTTTACTTTTTCTGATAGACACGTCCGCTTCCATGAACCAGCGCACCCCTCTGGGTACTACCTATCTGGACATAGCAAAAGGCGCTGTTGAGACTTTCATGAAGGTACCGTAAAATCAGGGTCCATAAACAGCTCCGAGCATCACATGGGGGAGATCGCGCTCGTTTGTTAGTCTCGTGGCAAATGCATGTCCGCTACAGTTTTTCAGCAACCTCGATTATTCTATATCTTTTACATATTCACACAGCTCAGAGCCAGAGATCCAGCGAGCCGAGGAGACCGGTACATGTTGGTGTCCTTCGAGGAGCCTCCCGTTGGAATCAAGGTAACGTGTCCCCGCTGTCAGTAGCCTTTCCTTCGCTTCAGTCTGCTTTTTTCCTGCCCCTAGATCTCTATTCACAATTTACTGTATGATTTCAAAGCAGCATCCGTAACCCGTCTGAAACATGGCCGACATTTTGTTTTAGTGTGCAGCAATGAACTGTGGGTGATGTCTTGGGTGTTCAGATTTCAAGTTGTCAAGTTGGTGTAGAAAAGGGGAGGCGAGATCCACGCGATAGGCCCTGTAACGACCTGTCGTCTAGTTTTCCCTATAAACAGAAGTATCACATGATACTCTTTTTCTTTCTTTTTTTAATTCAAATGTCAGACTGTCACAGTAGGTAAACCCGTATGATACTGTTTCTTTTCAGGAATTCCTTTTTTATTAGCAGTAATCTGGTAGTTATTAATTTTAACTTTTTAAGTGAAATTTATGTTACAGCTGTGGCATTGTAGATAGCAATACTAATGAGGGAGGATGATGAGGATGATTTCTGTCCTCTTCATCAAGGCGGGATGGAAGGAGAATCACGCCACCTTCATGACTGAGCTGAAGAACCTTCAAGCTGTTGGACTCTCCACCATGGGTCAGGCGCTCAGGACATCTTTCGATTTGCTCAATCTCAATAGATTAGTTTCTGGAATAGACAACTATGGACAGGTACGTTGTGTACAATGAAAATTATTCATTAATTTAGTTTCTGTGTGAGGGGAACTACAAACTACAAAAATAGATGTTTTAATACCCAGCCCCCCACCACTCACCCTTCTGAAATTTTCACACAGTATTATAAGCATCACGCACTAGTGTGTCCTCATAAACAGGATCTGAGAGCAGCCTGAAAAGTTTAATACAACAAAACTAGTCTTGCTCATCTTATGCTAACCAAAGTAGGACCTGCCTATTTTTATTAACCCTTGCCCACTGAGTGCCTGTATGAATACCTCCAGTTGCATTTCTTTCCCTGATTAACATCATAGGCATCATTTGCCTAAAAAAGACCCATCCACATCAGGAATACTGTATTTTGTATATTTGGTCTGTTCGTCATCTGGTGTGTTCAATGGAGCCTTTTCTGGTGCCCTTGTCGCTGTAAGACTGGACAGCATTTGTGAGGCACATTTGGCGGTGTACATAGTCCTCCTTTTCTTGGTGTTGTAGTCATTGAGGTATCTGACATTTGAACAAGGAGCACCAAAAACGTATGGTGACTATTTGTTAGTTTTCAAGTTACCAGCTATGTATTAACCTCAACCTTTGTCCCTTTTCAGTTAAAAAAAACTGAAATTGCTGAAGTTTATAAAGTGGCAACTGTACTATTACTGACATAGTATAGATCAGAGGCCTGTCTGCTTGTCGTGTCACAGGCACTGAGCTTGACTTTGAGGCTGTTGTCCTTCACTCGTGCTTCCAAGCAAGTCCACCCCACAACTGGTCTGTTGCTGCATCAACAGTCCAGACAGAGAAGCTGCAACTTATGCACTGGTGAAGAGGGAAAAAAAGTTCATATAAGTCATCAAGGCGGGATGGAAGTTCATATGAGTCTTGAGAAATAATATAAATGTGTTGCAGAGAAATAATTATTTATATATACATACAGTACATACACAATTCTTTATTTTAAAAATGCGATGCAATACCTTTATTTTCATTGTACAATGACATTTTTACATTATTAAAATGTTTCACAACATTGCTTAGCAGAGGCACAGTTTTTTTTGTATTTATTTTACTGCACTAGTTCTTGCTTTGCCTCCCGGCCTTCACAGGTCAGGCCTCCCGGCCTTCACAGGTCACTGGCCAATCCCTTTGCCATACTTTAGGTCATTGTT